GAAGCCTTTTTCCAGCCATGATGTCTGCCTTGTTGGATGAGTTACGGAGGATCGGCTCAGAGTCTTGGGAGAAGAAGAAGCAGAAGCTGATTTCTGGCCCATGAATGGCACCCTGGCTAGTGGGGAAAGAGAGTAGCTCCTGCCAAGTGCCTGCAGAGAAGGATCCAGACATATTTATTTTAGTAAAGGCTCATTATTGTCTGGCTGACTTGCAAATAGAAAACAGCAAAAACTGATGACAAGCTCTTATTCACATTTTTTTAAGTTACTGTACTCTATGACTTCAATTTGAAATGTAAATCAAGTTAAAAACTAGTCAGACAAAACAAAAGCTCCATGACTTGTTATCTTTAATTTTATTGTAGATTAGTCTTCCATTCCGCTGTAAGCTTCTTGAACTTGTTTGCCCTTCTTGCATGTCTCCAAACAGTTGGGTCATGAGGCGAACACAACACATGCAGCTTGTTTTCAATATGACTCCATCTCTAGAAAACTGCAATGTATGGGTGGCTACTAAATGTTTAGTGCTAAAATAATCTTTTGACATATTAAAAAAAAGATACTCAAATGTCATGTACAGTCTCTTTGATCCCAATACAACCTACTGAATGTATTTGAACTGAAGATGAGGCAGCACTGCCATCCTCTGGTAAGTGGTGTGTAATATTAGCAAATGATGAGAAAGGTAAAGAAAGAAGAGAAAGGGAAAAAGCGAAGTTATAGAATAATAAATCTGTAGAGAAGAAAAATCGTAGGCTCAAAATAGTTGCAAGGATGCAATAAATGAAGCAAAGACTGAGTTGATTAGAAGACATTCTGGTCATGTTTTGGTTCTATGAGACTTCTTCCTGTCTTTTTAAATTTAACATCTGAAATATTAGCTAATGCTTTGTAATGTAAATAACCCTGATGCCTCCTTTCTTTATATTTAGCTTCCACGATGCTAGACTTTTTTGTATTTTATAAGTCAACCAGTCAACATCTAGGGTTTCAGAAAATTTTTAAAGAATACGTTTTGACTTTGGCTAATTTTTCCTCACATTTTTTTGTCCAGCCATTTTCAGTGGAAAGTGTTTTGGTAATTCATGTAACTTTGATTAACAAATTCAGTCATGAAAAGGCAGCTAAACTCAAAACATTAATCAATGTTGTGTCACATAACAGCCAACTGAGCAAAAACAATTGTAAATTGTCTGTTTAGCTTTATTGACCAAAGACGTATAAGCAAGCTAATAGCTTGCTAGCTAGTTATTTTGATACTAGCAGTTGTCACAAAGACACATTTCCCTCCATTTGTTTTGTTGAAAATATAAAAATAATATTAAAGAGAACATAACATGGATATAAAATAATATTTTAGCCTAGCTGATTCCCAAACAGCTAAACTGAATAACAGCTGATTATTTTAATTGATTCAATTCATTCAACTAAAAGAATAATTACTGTTATACACACAGCCTAGCAAAGGTCATCATTTAAATGGACTATTTAGCTAATAACTACCCAAAGTACTAGCTAGCTAGAAATTTGCTAGCTCCTATATTTGTTAGCTGCTTGTCACAAAGACATTTGTCCTTTTTTTTTTATAGATTTTATGAAAAAATAGTGAAGACTGATACATCTAATGCAAATTAATTAATAAATCTCTGTTGTACGAAACAGTCTATCAAAGGACATCTTTTAAATTGTCTCTTTAGCTAGTAACTAACTGAAGGACTAGCTAGCTAGTAACTTTCTAGCTGTTGCCTTAGTTTATATGAAATACAAAAAGAACACAGTGTTAGGGGAATAAATATTGTTTCAGCACAAACATGTCTTGACACCACTGTCTGATACACGTATTTGGACCTGACACTTCATTTGTTCTCCCACGTTTCTATTTTTTAAGCGAACACTGCGCAGTACGATTTAAAGTCCAAAGAAATGAGTGAAAACGCAGCCAAAGTAAAAGACTTTTAGAAAGCTTGAATTAATATTGATTAGGATCACTTAAAAAGATTACAAGAAAACCTGACACCTAGAAGGCAAATAAAAAATGGGGCTGATTTAAAACTTGTGCACAGTCGTACTGTAGTGTTTCACACAATCACATCAATTTAAAACTCATGTTGGAAAAGTATAGGACTCTTTCCTAACGATGATATAAATATGCACAAGGAATAAGCCAGTAGGCAATAACAATGAAGTTTTGCCAGGCGTAGGTAGAGACAGCTGAATGAAGCAATGTGTCATTTAGACTCCACGGTAAGAAATAAATGGTAAATTGACTTATATAGCACTTTTCTATATTAACAAGATATTCAAAGTGCTTTACACTAGAATCTGTGTCATCGTTTACCCATTCATACAGCACTCTACTAGATCTATACAAAGACTAATCAGTGCTTTAGATCAGTGGTTCTCAAACTGGAGTCTCCAGATCCACGGGGATCCGTGACTGGAGTCTCCAGATCCACGGGGATCCGTGAGCCTCTGGAGAAGCGAACTCCCAGTCCTCCTGTGCCCCCACCCCACCCGCTGGCCCACCCGCTATTTGCGTTCCAGCATCATTCAGTTTACAAATTAAGCCGTTACTTGGTATGAAAGAAAGGGAAATTTGAGCTCGTCATCATTGTATGTTCCCATACAATGGCAAAATTGCATTTAACACACCACACATAAAATACACCCAGATGGAGCAGTGGGCAGCTATGTAAATGCCCAAGGAGCAATTAAGGATTAGGTGTCTTGCTCAGAAACACCACGACATGTGGGAATGGCTGGGGAATCGAACCGTGACTTTCTGGTCCCAAGTCGGCTGCCCTACCTCATTTCGGCCCCTTACTACTGCGGTTATGATTCTGTTCAGTTTTCTGTAATAATTTGGAGAAGTGGAAATACATTTACGAGTATGTTCAATATGTGAATAGGTAAAGTTTTAAAGTGTTTTTGATACTCTTGATTTTCTCAAAATTGTAATTTTTGGAAGTAGAAATTAAACATTTTGTTAATTGTGTCTTGAATGAAAAATACCCCATGTTTAAAAGTATAAAAATTGTATTGACACTGTTAAAGAGCAGGTCTTAAGTATTTATGTTACACAAATATTTTCATTGCATTAAACCGACAAATTGAATAAAATTATTTAATAAACATGAGGGTTATTGGGGGGGGGGGGGTGTCCCTGAACCCAGAAAGTTTGAGAACCCCTGCTTTACAACACACTCTGTGCCCTCATTTACCCATTCATACAGCACTCTACTAAATCTATACAAAGACTAAGCTGTGCTTTTAGATCACATTATATACAGATGGGACACACATCAGAGGCAATGAGGGGTTCAGTGTCTTACCCGGGCACACTTCAGCCTGTGACTGCTGGTGGAATCGAACCCCCAACTCTCTCATTGAAGGACGACTGCTCTTACCACTCAGCCACCTACCCTTTTGTAAATAAAGAAATATGCCTTTTTTTCCCCCAGTGCCTCTCCAGAATCAATTAAATTACTCTCAACTGATAAAGCCTGTATCTCATAGACTGTAACTTTGTGACAACTGGTAAACTGTATTTATGAGGGAGTTTCCAAAGTGTCTCAAAACATTTGTGAGGGTTTTCGATCTCTTCATGTGTGTCACGGGGCCTTGCTCTCATATTGCTGGAATTTTGTGCCACTTTGGGTAACACACGTACTGGGATTACACAGAGAAGAATAGCATGGCCCCTGTAAAAGGATGCAACATGCAAATTCGTAAGGCAATCCTTATTAGGAGGGCCAAGATGGGGTAGAGGTAGAGCAGCTGACCTAGGCCTGCTCACTGCTCCACCTGGATGTATTTCACGTGTGATAGGTTAAATGCAGAGAACTAATTTTGCCATTGTATGCTACAATCTCAAACCCTGTCCCCCTTTTGAACACGCTCAATGTGAGCAACAAATTTTCTCTCAAAACAGAAACCTGTCGCCAGTTGTTCTCATATTGAGCGAGTCAGAAAGTGCAAGCTCTATGAGGGTTTGGCAACATATGGAACAAAGTTGTGACTGGTAAGAGATGAAAAATGTGAATGACGTGCAACCAATGTTAGATATAATTAAAACACTTTAAGACTAAACTGCAACAACAATAAAAATTGCATGTCAGCCGCAGGCACATTGCAATTTAATTGCAGTTATGTATATTTGCAAATGTGATGTAAGAACCAATTAGGTGAGATTCCAGTTGAAAACTGAGAATAGTCACCGCCCAGTAAGATACTAGCATTCTGCAAGAATGGGCTTTTCAAGTACTTGCCTCTCTTATAAAAGTAAAAGTAAGTTAGATGTGAAATAATTTCTGTCTTTTCAGGCTACATTTTTCTAAGTGGAGAAGTAGGGAATATTTCCAAGATGAACAGCAAAAAAACAAAGAGAAGAAACCATAAACTCATGCTCAAAGGAGAAAAGAAAGGAAATGAAACAAGGATAAAAGATAGTTTAATGGCACTGCAGTGAATCATACATAAAGTGCACAATAAAGAGAAACACAACACAAAAAAGAAAATACAACAAAAGACAGCCTTGTACCAAAAAGTACATTTGTGAGCATTCCTTATCGGACAATTGTAAGAATTTTTACAATTCTTTTTTTGTATCAATTCTGATCCGCTCATTGAAATATATAAAAATGTATGAAAACACAAGAAAGGTAAGCCCAATATGTGAATTTAACTAGAAAAACCTCAAGGATGACTAAAAGGTAGTTTGGTAACTTGGATTGAAATTCAAACCTACCATGTGGACCTCAGATCTGGACTTGACACAAGGCAGTTTAAATATAGTGTCTAACATGATGCAACAGGTGCTAAAAAGCTTTAAATAAAACTAGCCTACTTAATAAGGAGGTGCTACAATAAAGGCAGAAAATACAGAATATATATATATATATATTTTTTTTTAATATTAAAGCAAGACTATACTCATTTAAGGTCATGGGTCATTTTGTTTTTATCTAAACATGTCCTAAAATTCCAAAGTTGTTTTAAAATGTGTGTAACTTGGCTTCCCTGCCAGTTCAAAATGAGTCAGATTATTACACCCTGCATCCTTTTCTTGTACTCCACACCCCTTTAAATATTTTCTTTTACTTTTATCCATTTATATTTATTTATATCCATTTAATGTGATTTGCTTACTTTGGTTCAAATCAACTGATAATTGAAAACGTTGCTATTATAAATCAACTTGTGTCTTTCACAGTCTGACAACATTCAATTCTTCTTTCCCCCTTTACCATATTCACTCTGAGCACAATGCTTCTCTACATTCCTGTACCATCACCACTTTAGATATTTTTCATATCACTGCCAAAGTTAAACAATTCTTTTTTCTTTACAAAGCAATACCAAAATCAAGCAGAGTGAGGAGTTGTTGAAAATAATGTTTATAGTGTGTGCTCAGAATGTTCCACTTGGCAGTGTACTTCAAGAGCACAAACGCTTGAATGCAACTTTAAGGCTGTCATAATTTAACAACGTATCACTCTTTTTCTACAGCTGCAGGTTTCCACACCTGAGCTGAGCTTTTGTTAGCTGTAAACTTGGGTTTGGGGGCAGTGCTGCCACCAGATGCAGATTCAGGCCTGGCAGCTACAGGAAAATTAGGCACAATGTAGCTACTGGTAGGCTGTGGTTTGTAAGATACAGATGGAGTTGCCAGATAGGGAGGGCTACTGGCAGGCTGGTAAGCAGCCTGGACTGATTGTTGGTAGGGAACGTTTGAGGGCTGATAAGCTTGGGGATGATAAGCTGGTGGGATAGATTGTTGATACTGCTGGTTATATTCTTGCTGGTATAAACCACCTGGAGGCTGCTGATAAGGATAAACATGAGCTTGGGTTTGCTGATACTGGGCATCTTGCATTACAGACTGCATGGGTATCCCATAGGCTTGCTGGGGATATGGGGCATTGAATGGTCCAGTTTCCTGGACCGGAGCCATTTGTTCATATCTAATTGGTTGACTTTCTGGGAGTGGATTAGGGGGTGAATAACTAGGCTTTGGTGTAGGGGGCTTGGCAGGCTCTGCTCCTGGACCAAAGATAAAGAGTGAAGAATCTAATTTATATGGCTGATGTTTCATGACATCTATCACATTGAGAGGTTTAGGAGCAGGCATCTGTTTTTCCTGGTCTTTTTTCTTTGTTTTGGTTACAGGACTACTTGCAGGAGGCTGCTTTGTTGCTGCTGGGGGATAAAAAGGGGACAGAATAGGATTATATGATCGTGAAGGTGGCGCACGTACATTGGGTGAGTATTTCCATTCATTTGGTAAGGAAGCAGCTGGTGACGTCGACCGGCTTGCTTTGTTCGCTTCCACAGTCTCTGAGTCCACGACAAACTTCTCCATACGAGACTGCCTTTTCGCAAACATATCAGCTCCTTTCCCTCTGACCAGTGGCATTTCATATGCTGAACCAGGGGTGGATTTAGGATTCAAGACTGTAGCCATTGGGTTGATAGGTGATGAAACTTTTTGTCCAATTGTAAAACTATGCATTCGCTGGGGAGGAGGTGGAGGGGTTTGGTTTAGTGGTGCAAGCCAAGGTTTAGGGGAGGGTTGGATATTTAATGTAGATGTAGGGACATGTTGAATGTTCACTGTAGACGTGGGAACATTTAAAGGTGTTTGCTGTGACGGTGGTCTCCATTCATGTCCTGGGGCTTGAGGCTGCACCTGGCCTGGAGGCCACATATTAATTTGTGGTTGTTGTGAAGGGTTTAGCGTTGACTGTTGCCAGTTTGGTTGAGCTGTGGGCTGGGAAGGAACTGGTTGAGCCCAAGGTGGCTGATGTTGGGGCTGATTTTGTTCCTGAGCCCAAGAATTTATGTGTTGTTGACCACCATGCTCTGGAGGATGCTGAGCCCATAAAGGTTGGGATGGGACTTGATTAGGGACAGGTGCCCATGGATTCAAATTAACTTGAGCCTGTACTTGAGGCTGTACTTGAGCTCCATGGATCCATGGTGGCTGAGACTGAACTTGGGTTTGTGATGGGGCCCATGCATTAAAAGTTGGTTGCTGCGGAGGTTGACCCGAGACCCAAGGTGGTTGAGGTTGACCTGGTGCTTGAGCCTTTGACCATGACTGTGGTAAATCTGGATGATGTTGCTGCTGAATACAAGGTGGTTGTGGGTGTGTTTCAGGCTGAGCCTGTTGAACCCATGGAGGTTGAGCTTGTGCTTTTTGCTGAGGTTCATGCACCCATGGTGGTTGCTGTGGAGAGTCTATTTGTGATTGCTGAGTCCATGGGTTTGGGGGCTGTGGTTGCAGTGGTTCTTGAACTTGACCCAAACTTGGCTGCATTTGTGGTAAGTGTGGCTCTTCCTTCATGTGTGACCAAGGTGGCTGAACCTGTGCCTGAGACTGTGGTTGTTCTTGAGGTGGAACCCAGGGTGGTTGAGGATTTGCATGGCTTTGTGCTTGCTGCTCTGGTTGAGTCCAGGATGGTTGACTTTGAGGGGTCCAAGTATTTGGGGGTTGCTGAAGGTGTGCTTGGTTCTGAGTAGGCTGATGTGTTTCCCATGGTGGCTGTGATGAAGACTGGTGTGGTGGTGGGTTCTGAGACTGCATCTGTGCTGATTGCCAAGGACAGGAAGACTGTTGATGTGCTTGTACTGCTCCCCAGGTCAACATCTGAGAAGTTTCAGACTGCAGAGCAGAGTTCACCTGACTATTTGCCTCCTGAGCCGTCACTTGTGGAAGCTCCTGTTGAGCCTCTTGTTCAGAAACTGTCCAAACAGGTTGTTCTGCTGTGTTGGTGTTTGCAGGATTGTCCTGGGCTGCAGGAAGAGTGGAAGGCTCAGGGGGAGGTGCAGGGGTTGGATCTAGTTTTAGAACAGAGACAGTCTCTGATGTGGGGAGTGGAGCAGGTGTAGAAAGACTATTTTCAGCACACTGAGGCATGTCCTGGTTGGGTGCTTCTAACTGAGAGGTCCAAGGAAGAGAGGTGGGGTTGATCACAGGTTTTGGAGCAACTGGTGGAGGAATCTTGTGTTTAATTCTTTGAGATTGAAGAAAATTGCAAGCTTCAGCCCCAAGGCTAAGATAATCTTCATCTGGTCCAGACTCAAAGCCTTTTTTATCACCCTTATTAAGAAGATTCAGCAGTGCAGGGTTCGGTGATACTTTGGGGGCTTCTTTAAATGTGAACATAGGTTTGACAACCGTCTTCCTCCTCGAGTCTAACAAGCCCGTCTTGATTGCAGGAGTAGAAATGCGCTCGTCACGGGAAGCTATCTGCTCTCCTTGCCCCACATCTTGGTTGGTCCCACTTGCTGCATGAGAATAATGGGTCGCCACCATGTTTTCTGCTGTAAAAGGCTTTGCAGTACGATTGCTGAAGGAACTCTGAACTTCATTGGTTTGATGCTGGACCGTGCCATTGATGTTTGCAGAATAGTGCTGCATTTGCTGTTGCTCTTGACGATATTCTTGCTGGTTCTGATACATTTGTTGCTGCTGATATTCTCTTTGTTCATATTGCTGCTGCTGATATTGTTGATACTGCTGTTGATAGTTCTGTTGCTGCTGATAGTTCTGTTGCTGCTCATAGTATTGCTGCTCTTGATATTGCTGATAGTGCTGTTGGCTTTGCTGGTGCATATTTACATCCATGTACGCATGACCCTCTGTTGCAGACTGCATGTAAGCGTGCTCTGCTGCTTTTTTCTCAGTCTCCTGCAGGCCTTCCACAGGTATCCCTTGGCGCCTTAGTTCCTCATGTTCAGCAGAAATCTCATCCATTCTCAGACGCCGTTGAGCAAACATTAAGGCACCCTTGCCTTTGGTTTCAGGCAAACATTCCAGCTCTGTTTGATTATTCATGCCACTTTCAATTTCAAGAAGACTCTTGTCCAAATTCAACGTTATCACGCCTTTACTATGTGGGGCATGAGAAAGAAAAGGTTTGTCTAATTTAGGATCAGCGGAAGCTTCGAAAGTAAATTCACCAGCAAGGTATTCAAGTTTGTTGTCACTGCAAATCTCCTCCTCTTCGTCACTGTACTCTGGTTCGTCCTCTCCTGTACCGTAGCTCACAAGCGTAAATTTTTTGGCCCTTTGACGATGTTTCTTGAACATCAACACCCCTTTGTTGTTGGGGTTTGGTGGTGCAGCCGAAAGAAGAAGAGCAATACGTTTACATTTAGACTTGGCTTCCTTCACTTGTTTCTCGGACAGACTCTCGTTTCGCCTCAGCCCTGTGTAGAGAAGACAAAAAGAGTTCTGTGTTTAAAACGGATAAAAAAAAAAAAACTACATAAATGTTGAATTTAAACACATTTTCTCTCATAAGGATTTTAACTTAAATGAAAAGTATCAATTCTTAAAGGACTGTATATTTCATGTTGCTTTGTATGTCAACATTTTGAACAAAGACCTTGTGCAATCTGTCAAAACCTATATTGGGGATGACTCAGTTATGATTACACCCATGCTTAGTTCAACATCTGTAAATAGGAACGAGTTATTTTTGTGTTTAATTAGGTATAAAAGATTTGGTGGCCATTTTGAAATGGCGCAATTCCAAAAGATAATCAGTTGTATTTCATGAGTTTACAGGATGCACTCTAACAGTTAATAGTCTAAACAAAGGCCTTGCACCGTGTCTTAGAGCTTGGGTTATGTTTTAGGTGTAAACTTTAGCTACCACCATGCCAAATTTTAGCTTTGTATCTGTAGAATTGACTGAGTTTTTGTGTTGAATAATGTCAAATAGCTGTGATTTTGAATCAGGTTGATCCCAAAAGTTAATCCGTACATAAATGTACATCCAACAACGACTTAATAGGAGTTTCATTCATCTATTAGACAAACGTACAAACTGAAACAGGCATTAGATTATCACCTGCCACAATGAAAGGAGGGCAACCAGAAGGTTAAAAGTTCAAAACAACAAAATGTATATTTATTTGTACAGCAGAATAATACAAAGTAGAAACAGAGCACCCCAAGCCTTAACTAGAGGAGGTTCTATTAATTTTGTAACCTTTATTAGACCAGGCAAATCCCATTGAGATCACAGATCTCTTTTGCAAGGGAGACCTGGGCCTGAAGGTAGCCTATCATGTATGTTTTTGGTATGTGGGAGGAAACCAGAGTACCTGGAGAAAACCCACGCAAGCACAAGAAAAACATGCAAACTCCACACAGAAAGACCCCAGGTCCAGCTGGAGATTGAACCCAGGACCTTCTTGCTGTGCTGTGTGTGGCAACAGTGCTAACCACTGAGCCGTCATGCTGCCAATTGGCATGTTTCATCGCTTTAATCGCTGGCTTGAGCAAAAAATTTGAAAGCAATTTAACGTACAACCTTAATAAGCTAAATTATAAAAGTGGAAAGTTATGTATTACTTTACCCTGAATACAAGTAACTTTACCATGTTACAATTACGTGCAGAATTCTTCTTCAGGACTTGAGCAAGTTTAAAAAACTATCGAAATCCCAGTTTCTGCCAAAGTGCAGTGAATGCCGAGTGCTGAATGACTGTGAAATTGTTAAAGCTAACATAATCAGAACACTAGCTAACAGGTAAAGCAAGCGGAACATTAGCTAACAGGCAAAAGTAGCAAAATACAAAAAAAAAAAAAGTACTAAAAGTTTATCTGTTTTAAATTGTGCTCTACAAATAAAGATGACTTGACTTGACTTGACTTAATTTAGCAAAAGCTAAAACATCAAAAAGGGAATAGCAAAAAGCAAGCTAAAAGGTAAATGTAGAAGACTATTGGCTAATAGCTAAAAGTAGCAAGATGCTAGCTAAAAGACCCCCCAAAATGAGAGGAATTGCTAAAAACTAAAAGTAGCATAAATAATCAAATATGCAACAAGTTCTCTGAGGCAGATTTCCAATTTAAATTTTTTTAAAGAAATTGAAGCAATCTTGATGTATATCGGTGAAGAAAATGTAGGTAAATAACGTTGAATCTTTAGTATAAGTTTCAAAAACCAAATGTTGCAGTACTTATTTCTCGAACGTGAGAAACATTTTGACATACAAATTGTTAAAATAGAGCAAATATGCAGAAGAAATGCACAAAAAAATCAAACAAAACAGAAAATAAACCGTAGCGTGAATTCCGAGTTAGCATTTACACAATAATAAAAATAAACTCAACGTTAAAATGGGAACCATGAAAAATAATTAATTCCAAGTTACATCATGCACTGAGCCGGTATAAACGCAAAATAAACTGTAACCGTAATGCAACATTTTTCAGTCAGGTCATCTGGCCAAAAACTGTCCAGATGACCTGACTGAAAAATGTTGGATTGTATACCTGGATTATTGAGCATGGACTTTGTTGTAACCGTAATGATTTAAAAAAAAAAATGATAACTAAACACTATTTACCAACAAAACTTTCAGCCTTTAGCTACATTTTACATTTTGTATTTGTAACAGACTTATTTTTAACGTGCTTATTTAGCTGTACATAACATATTGACCTATAAACTAGCAATAAAATTCTCTGACCCATTTATAATACCCTCATTTGTTTCACTGAGAAGGCTCTAGATTAAACCACTCATTCATTTCAACAAACAAGCCCAGAACACAAAGTGACAAAATAGACTGCAGGCAATAAATTGTGTCTTTATGGATCTTTAATTGTACGGTTGCCTTTTTACCTCGACATCAGCCAAACACAAGACAAAGCCACTCTCAAACAATCCAATAATAAAAATCCAACAAGCTTACTTTGTAATATTCCTGCTGGACTAACCTGAAGGTGGAGGAGACAACGGGAGTGAGCAACACGCTCACTTTTTCAGCTCAGTTAAAGCACCCCGTCTGAAAGGATCAAGTAACAGACCAGAGGAGCACATGCTGGTGTCCGTCAAAGAGCAACTTGTGCAGGCATCATCAGGGCGCTGGTGTTATTTTTATGTCTTCTCCAGAGCTCAGAGGAGCACCTCGGTGTCCATATTTACCATCAAGACACTTTAAATTTGTTATTCTTTATTCCTGGAGCATTATTGTTTTTGCTAGTATCTGTGCATTTGTTTGTTTTTTGAGTCAACCCAATTCAAGATGGCCGCTCCAGCAAAAACAGTTAGAGGACTGACACAATTTTACAAGTTTTGGGATAATTTTGAGTGTGGTAGTAACAATGACAGATCCCTAACTTTTACTCTGAGCTCGACCTGATGAGTTCTGCCATTATGGGCTTTATTATGGGATTCTGCCATTACCTACTGTATGGGAATTAACTTAATCTGTTTGTTAGCTAAATTTCTTGTGAACCAACTAACTAATTAATGAAACTATCAGAAAGTAGTCCCTGGATGTATATCTACAATTGGAGTCATTCCAATTCAAGATGGCTGCCATGGCCGACGGACCATAACACAGTCAGTTTCACAGATATTAAGCTAAAACTTGAGATGGCAGTAGCTGAGAGTTGCCTCCAACACATACATCGAGAACAACATGAGGCAATACATTTTAACGTCGACCCTTGGCATTAACTGTTGGAATCAACCTTGTTTATTTGTTAACACAATACCCCATGAACCACTGTATACAGATGTTAATCAAACTCCCAGAAAATAATTATTGGCTGAAGACTTCCAGCTGATTACCATATGGTGTCAAGCTGATTCAAGATGGCTATAAATCTAACTGTCCTTAGCTTACAGAAAAATGGCTATATCTTCCTGGAGAAACTTTGACAGGGACTGCCAGGCTGCTGCCAATTGAAATTTTTATTGGACAGTACTATGTGTTGGGATTCGCTTTCATCTACCACTATACCAAATTTCAACTAATAGCACTAAAAATGGCTGAGTTATCATATTCTTTCCCTTTTAGCTAAGGCGGCCATCTTGGATTTTTATTTGGATTCAGTATGTGCTGGGAAACAATCTCAGCTATCACCACACAAAATTTTAGCTCTAGAGCTCAATAATTAGTTGATTTATGGTATTTTTCCTTTTTAGCTCAGGCGGCCATCTTGTTATTTTGATTTGCATTAGGGATGTATGAAAACCCGCTCTCAGCTACGACCAGAGCAAATTTCAGCTCAGTATATCAAATAATGATTTGAGGTATAGCAGTTAGAAGCTGTTGCGTTCCGGCAGACATTTTGAATGAGAAAAATGACGTCTTTGTTTGCAAATTACATCGCCATGGTAACTTGAAACGTCAGTAAAAGTAATAGCACACATCACGGTGCCAAGCCGGTCGTTTTGATATAACATCTGTGGGGGTACATATTGCGGTTCGGGCTGCATTAAAGTTGATGGAAGAGTAAGATATAAAGTTAAAAAACACTATAAGTCAGGTGGATAATAATAGGTGCTGCCTTAGTAGGCAGTCCCCAATGAGCAAAGAATTGGTGAAATATTAGCTGACAGTCATTCACGTCACATATTCCAAGCGCCAACAAACCATGCAACACATCATAGTACTGCATGAGATTGTGAGTAATGCTAGTTCAAAGTAAGACTAAAATAGCAATGACTGTCTTTTCTCAACATAAAGCGATCTAAGTTTAAAACTGGTACATGAAAGGCAGCAGGTGAAATCCATTCCTTTAAAGAACACTAAACCTTTAGTTTCAAAAGCTTTTGTTAAATATCTGCATTTTGGTTCTGCCATGCTGTACGTCCAGTTACACCAGCTGTATCTGCTTTCACTCAAAGGAATGGGCTGCCTCCTCCAACTGCAGTAAAAGACACATCCTATTTTAAGCCTTAGACCCACACACACAGAACATCAGGCTTTGGAATGCACACATGTTCATAAATGCAATTTATTGATGCAATGCTCATCGGTTCAAGCAGAAACATCTCTTAAGTTACTTACTAGCGTGCTTTGCCCGGTGCTTGTTGGGTTTTTCTTGATCCCCGTCAGAATCCGAGTCCTGCTGTCCTCCCCGCACTGCCTCCTCTGATGGGATTTCAAAGGAGATGGTGAAGGATCCAGGAGCACCCTCGCACTGCTCTCCGTCACTATCACTGACCTCGGGGCCACCCACGCGCAGGATGCCCCTCCCTTCTCCTGATGCTTCTGATGGCTGCTGCAGGGTGACCTCCGGTTGGTCCGGCGTTGACGGGGAGCGGACCACCACTCCAAGCTGCCTGAGCGGCTCCTTGACGGGGCATGGCAGGTAGTGTGATGTTATGGAGGTGGTGTGATTGGTTTCTACCACCTCTCTGTTGGAAAGCTCCCCCTCTATCCCACGAGCACTCCCAAGGGAGGAACAGCAGCCTTCGTCGTCAAAGGTTTTCTCAGACAGGGACACCTGGAGCTCCACCAGTTCTCCAGGGGAGAAGCACCGCCGCACTTCTTCGTTATATTTGTTAAAAACCAGCTCATGGCCTCCCAACGTGTCAGATAAATGGAGATCTGTTCTCTGTGGGACTTCTGTGTCGGTGTCCAACTCCCCCCAGCAGGCCTCTCTTTGAGTCTCAGATGTGTAGAGCTCCCCTGAGACATTGGACCTGTGCTTTGAGGAGAAGATGTGGAGGGTGGTGCTTTCTAAAGCCTCGCCTGAGGAGATCCTCTCACCACGGCATGTCCCTTCAGACTCACAGTCTTCAGACGGGATGAAATGGTATCTTTCAGAGAAAAGAGGGGGGAAAACGATGAACAATAGAAAAAGGTTTGTAAGCTCAATCATCCAGGTAGATAACAACAACAAAAAAAGTTAAATCACGTTGTCTCAACCAGTTTCTTTAAGTGAGAGATGTTTCGTCCCCCATCCAGAGGACTTCCTCAGTTTATGGCCTGCCAACCAGATCTGTCCCATAGGTAACCTTCACCGCTGTGTTTCAAGTCAAACCGCCTGTGGAATCTCAGAAGTAGGCTTTTAACTATGGTGGCCTTAAGGTGTAAATGAACATTTGAAAAAACAGAATTACATAAAAAAAAAAAAAAAAAAAATTTTTTTTAAAAACGTAGCAAAAACACAACAACATTTGAGCAGAAGTGGCCGAAGCGGAAATGGTCGGAATCACATTTGAAAAACAGAATTACATTAGGCCAAACCAGAAGTGGCATTTTTGTGTGTGTGTGTGTGTGATAAAAAAACAAAAAAACTTTATTAACGACATAAAACAGAACAACAGAACAATGTACAGTACACACAGAATTACATTTGAAAAAACAGAATTATATTAAGCCAAAGCGGAAGTGGCTGGAATCACATTTGAAAAAACTGAATCACATTGTAGTGGTTATAGATTTTTTTGTGTGTGATTAAAAAACAACAACTTTATTAACAACATAAAACAGAACAACAGAACAATGTACAGTACACACAACGGAGGTACAGTTAGCAGGCTAGCCTTTAGCCTGTAGAAATGGAGAGCTACGTTTTGCTCAAGCTTAAAGAAGAAGATATGACGCTGGAAAATCTCAGCAGGATCTTCTAGGTAATCAAATTTTGTTGGCATACATTTTATTTTTCCTGGCGCGGCATTAGTAATACCTAGCCTGCTAACTGTAACTCCGTTGTGTGTGTACTGTACATTGATCTGTTTTATGTTGTTAATAAGTAAAAAAAAAAAAAAACACACACACACAAAAAAAACACTACTTCTGCTTTGGCTTAATGTAATTCTGTTTTTTTCAAATGTTGTTCATTTACACATCAGGGCCACCATATTTAACACATGCAAAACAATCAATCATCAAGTGCAACAATAAAATGTTTTATGCCAGATGGCCAACTTGCTACTCACAGAAACAGCCTGAGGACTACCTATGGGACCGATCTGGTTGACTGACGAAGTCCTCTGGATGTGGGACGAAATGTTTTTCACTTAAAGAAACTGCTCCAGATGACATGATTTACTAATTTTTGTTGATGAACAATGGAGCATTATTTTTGCTTTTATATCATTCTAAGAATTAAAGACACTTTCTGTTTAATTTGGTCGATGGCAAGAGCAGTGGTGATGTTCTTAGGAAAAATAAATTCAACAACGCTAATTTCGTCTATTGCCTGATATGACAAAGTAAAAAAAAAATCTTGCATAGTCTTCTCACGCTCAGCTTGGAGATGGTTGGGAAGGATTCTTAGCCAAAACCATGGGAAACTTTAGCTCTTTATTTAAATACTAACTGAGTTAAAGTTGTTGTTTCCACAGCTCTATTATCTACGGTGGTCCTCACCCAAGTTGACTGTCATCGTTGTCAGCTTGTCTTCACAGATTAATATTATCTTATGTTTCATGGAGAAGCAAATAAAGAATATGAGACGTAATGCACTTTTTTAAACGTATATTTTGTTGAGAGCACACAAACTACAAAACCCCTCAAACGACCCGTAGAGCTACCTTTTGACGAGTAACTGCAGCGTGTCGGTTGACGTTTCGATGAGAGCGAACGCTCGTAAGAGGGTAAGATCAGCACACGGCTCCCCGTTGATAGACACGAGCTCGTCCCCCTCCTGGACTCCGGCCTCAGAGGCTCGACCACCTTCTTCTAGCTGTGAAGAACAGAAACAGTCAGATCAGCTAAAATATGAATTCAGGAAAAGAACAAGTGAGATACTCGAAGTGTGACATCTGCCAACCTTCACACAGCCCCAGACAGAGGCAACGGGACGCCAGAGTAAAGCATGTTTTAAATGCTAGTCACCATTAAAGGTAAATACCAGTACAAGTGATCAGTATTCAAGGAAAGTCAATCAGCTGTTATCTACAGAAGGCTGTAGCAGAATGACTAGTTTAGGAAATGACAAAAACAAATCTTATGCGAAAACACAGACAGTCCAAGATGACGCCAGCTTTATGGCAAAAAATGTCATAAAATGTTTTATGCAGGCTGATTTCTGCTCTTCATTAGAAGATTTTTCTTCTGTTTGGCACCCGTTCTTATCCAGATGTCACTGCTGGATTGAGCCTGCTGCCCCTCCCAGTCCTTCAGATGCACGAGGGGAGCATCCACCTGTCTGGCATTGGTCGTGGTCCTACAAAAGGCAGTGTGAATCCTAGGAACCCTTACCTGCTGGGACGTGCTTCGTTTCCCCTCGACTGACCATGCTTCGGATGGCTCTACTGAACACAAGATCACTAACTAACAGGACTTCTTCAACATTTTGAATTGACAGTGACACTGAAAATGTAGCAGTCTGGACAATCACAAATAAACTAAAAGGCTTTGGGCTTGTCCTTCCTCTTTACAGTGTTCCCTCTTCACGGATCACCACAGCGAGTCATCCTTCATCTCACTCTGTCCTCACTCCAACTACCTCCATGTCCTCTCTAACTGCATCCATATATCTCCTCTTTATCTTTTTTCCAGGCAGCTGCATTTCTAACATCCTTCCACCAGTATAACCACTGTCCCTGCTCTGGACATGTCCAAACCATCTCAGTCTGGTCTCTAACTTTATCTCCCAGTTGTTCAACCTGTGCTGTATCTCTGATGATCTCATTCCTAATCTTATCCATCCTTGTCACTCCTAAGAGAACCTCAACATCTTCATTTCTGCCACTTCCAGTTCTGACTCGTCTTTTTGTCAACGCCACTGTCTCCAGACATGTTTAGTCTGAATAACATTGAATGTTATGGTTAGTTCAAGGTCACAGTGTTCTAAGGAGTGCATAGTCAAAATGCCTACCAATGCTCTGAAAATTTGCTTTTTTGTGTGAAGACAGTGTCTACTTGAGTGTGTGATGTACTGCCATTGAGACACTCAAATAGGATATATAAATATTATCATTATTGGAGCTGGATCCAGATTGCATGATTGTCCAAACTGCAAAACCATTTTTCTAGTGTCCACATCAACCTAGCAGCTGTCAGGACTTGTGTCTTCGTGAAGTAAAAACACAGAACATTAAAAGTGATTGTGATGAAAATCATAAATTAGGCAAGTTTTACTCAATGATCCTCGAGGCCTCACTCTTAAAACAGAGTCATTTTGACCCAAGGGCAGCTGGGGGGTTAATTCCATCTGTGTATAGAAGCTATAGAGCAGCACAGAGGAGATCCGGTTAAAGGGCACTTCTTTACGACCAATGGTTTCATTTCCTTCTAATTGGTTCTTGCAGCCTAATGGTTCATCAATAAGAGGATTTTAATAAAGAGGCAGAACACCATAAATCCTACACAAAAGGCCACTTAAACAGCTGTGGGTGTAAAATATCACTTTATTTTCACACAGGTAATGAATATGCAGCAAGAGATGTGTTAGGAGGACGTTGGGTATAAAATACAAACAGGAAGGAGATTTATCTTTGACAGTAATTGTAAAAAAAAAGAGACAGTACTGTAAAGAAATCTGCGCTCACTGCCACTGCAACAAAAAGACTGTTTTCCAGAGCAATATTTAGGAGTTCTGTGTTTGTTTTCTTTGAAATAATTCAGACTAGAAATAAGTCAGCTCACATGCCAAAACTTTACATCAAGGTCTCAGTTTATGCTCACAGTTAATGTTTGGGGTGACCCTCAGCTACTTCCACACCTATGCTCGGCTCAGTATTTGTAAAAATGACAGAGTTGCAACAATTTTTGTGCACAATCACGTCTATTAGCTGTGGCAACCATGCTGAACTAAGTCAACTCCAAAAGTTAACTGGTTGTAGATGTACATCCAATAATTACTTTCAGGGAGAATTTCATAAAAATTAGGTATTTTGCTAACATTTGCTAAAAATTAGCCAATTTTATCAGCATGTGACCATATCAACACGGGGAAATAACACGTTAGACCGTGTTTATACCAACATACGAGACGCATATAGAGCCGTACCTTGTCCCCACCATGGCCTCTCTGACCACATCTCCATCTTTCTGGCCCCTGTCTACCTTCCCCCACTGAGACATTCCAGAGCAACACAGAAAACCATCATTGTGTGGGCCAGCGACAGTGACTCTGTACTGCAGGACTGTTTTGCATGCACAGACTGGCAGATCTTCAGGGAGGTTGCTGTAAATGAGGGAGAACTGGATCTGGAGGAATACACATCTGCTGTCCTCGGATACATTAGTAAGTGTGATGAAGATGTCACCACCACCAGGACTGTGAAGTGCTACCCGAACCAGAAACCCTGGTTGAACGCAGAGGTCCATACTCCATACCCTGAAAGTCTGGGATACTGCCTTCAGGTCTGGCGACTAACAAGAACTGGGGATGGCAAGGAAAGAGCTGACTGCTGGTATTAAGAGGGCCAAAGCAAAATACGTATGGAAGATCCAGGGATCCACAGAGCATGTGAAAGGGCATTAATTGCATCAAAAATTACAAAAGCAGAGGTGCAGAATGCCCTAGGGACCCATCACTGCCTGGTGGGTCTATGCCTGCTTTGAAGTCCCAAATAGATTACACAGCACCAGACTCATCCCACCATCTGAAGAGGAGTTCCTCAGCGTGACCTAAGCTGAAGTAAGAAGTACCTTCAGGATAATTAATCCTCACAAAGCCACTGGCCCAGACAACATCTCAGGGAAGGTGCTGAAAGACTGTGCCGATCAGCTCTGCGAGGTGCTGGCCAACATCTTTAACTCCTTCCTCACCCTGGCAATTGTTCCCACCTGCCTGAAGACCGCCACCATCATCCCAGTTCCTAAGAGCTCTGCAGTGACTAGACTGTATGACTATTGGCTAGTAGCCCTCACCTCGATAGTCGCTAAATGCTTAAAAAAACTGGTCATGACCCACATCAAAGCTACCATCGACATCAGTGAGGACCAACATCAGTACACATACTACAAGAATCAATCAACAGAGGATGGCATCTCATCTGTGGTCCACACTGCTCTCACCCACTTGGAGCAAAAGGACTCCTACATCCGTTTGCTCTTTGTGGACTTCACGTCTGCCTTCAACACCATGATTCCCCAGACCCTCATGGACAAACTACTCACACTAGGACTAAGTCCCTCCATTTGCAACTGGGTCCTGGATTTCTTAACCGACAGACTGCAGTCTGTGAGGATCCATAACTTATCCTCCTCCACCATAACCCTCAGCACTGGGTCCCCTCAGGGCTGTGTGCTGAGCCCTCTCCTGTTCACTCTGCTCACGTAAGATTGTGTACCCACTCATCCAGGCTGTCACATTGTAAAGTTTGCAGATGATACAGTGGTAGTTGGATGCATCACAAACAATGAGTCCAGCTACAGGCAGGAGGTGGAACACCTGGAGAGCTGGTGCAAGAAGAACAACCTTCACATCAATGTGAAGAAGACAAAGGAGATGATTGTGGATTTCAGGAGGATCTGCGGTGGAAGTGGTCTCCAGCTACAAGTACTTGGGTGTGCACCTGAATGACAACCTTAACTGGGGCAACAACACCACCAGCCTGATCAAGAAAGCTCATCAGAGACTCTACTTCCTCAGGCGGCTGAGGCGAGCTGGACTGGGAAGCTCAGTCCTCACCTCCTTCTACAGGTGTGCTGTGGAGAGCATCCTGTGCTCCAGCATCAACGTGTGGCATGGAGGCTGCACAGCTGCAGAAGGAAAAGCTTTGCAGAGAGTGGTGAAGGCTGCACAGAAGTCTGTTGGAGTCAGTCTCCCCACCATCACAGACATCTACACCTCCAGATGCAGGAAGAGGGCCACCTGCATCATGAAGGACCCCACTCACTCAGCACACATTTTTGCCCCGCTCCCCTCAGGAAGGAGGTTGAAGAGCATTAAGTGTAGAACCATTAGACTGAGGAACAGCTTCTACCCTGAAGCTGTTAGACTCATGAATCCCTAATCAGGAAAATCACTGTAATAATAATAATAATAATTAAAAAAGAAAAGAAAAATCATTGTAATGTCACTTTAATTGGTGATACTGTATGTGACCTATCTGTGCTGTTGATGATTATCAAAGCTGCTGATCTCTTGACTTTAAGCTGCTGTATTCATACCCATCTGCTCACTACAGACTCATGTTCGGGCTGCTGTTTAATATACCACATTATTTTACATGAATAGTGTTTAGCACATATCTTAAATCCTTGTATAGTTTCTTTTTATACTTTATATTTTTGCTATTTTGGGGTGTAACTGGGACCTTGGGTACACAGTTCCATCTCATGCACCACATGTGATGTGAATGACAATAAAGACCCTTGAACCTTAACATCTACACACAGGCAAAAACATCGACACCCACCAAAACAGCCTGCAGAATGCTGCCTGATCAGACTTTACACTCACAGTCTGATGGAAATAGTTTTAATATATTAATTAAGTTAATTATTTAATAATATTTACACAAAACACAAATAAAAAGCTTTGAAGCAACATCACTGCTGTCAATTCTGTAGCTCCAATATGGAACCTTGTAGTAAGAACACCTCACCACTAGAGGGCGAACATGTAGCTTTTTTAATTCTCAAATGAGGCTCAGAAGATATTTCTTTTACTATTTTAAAACCATATTAAAACTCTTCTCTTGTGAGGTTTGTCACAACCGTTGCTCCTTCACTTGCATTTAGGAAACAAAAACAGACTTATTTCCATTAAACAGACATGTTTGAGTCTAAAACAAGCAGAACAATAAACCCATTAATAGTTCTGAGTCATGTTTTAAATCTGGCAACTTCTTTATAAACTCCCCTGACTGTGTTCTTTAGTTTTTAAGAGTTTAAAGAAGCCCTATAAGGCAGTCAGCGCATCTGTTCATCTGGACTCTCACCTCGTCTCAGGGAGGACAGATCTGTCTGGAATGTCACGATAACTGATCCAAAAAAGGAGGGAAAATGTTTGTCGTCGTCTCCCGCGAGTCAAACAAACACGCGGTCAGGCAAATGTTAAACAGACGGCCATCACTGCTTCAGTCCCGGTTAAAATTTGCAGCTTTTCAAGTCAAAATCTTTTATTTATTTATTCTTTTTGCGAGTTATCATCCTGAAGATGACCGCAGTTAAATGCTGCTGAAGAAACTTTACGAAAATGATCGTGCTAGATATCATTTTTACAAAAGACGTCAAATACAACACACTGCATCCCTGGTGTTCCTACTTTTTTGAGTGTTTTATTTTTTACAAGGTGTTTAAATTACAGAAAATCACAGGAAGCATTAAAATGATGTGTGCACATGCTTCAGGGTAGTTCCAGCTTTTCATAGCTCGAAGCAATCACGCTAAAAAAAACAAAAAAAAACCACATGTTTTTGTTAAATACTTTCCAGCTTCTTGCAGGTAACACCGTGTGAGTGAAATTTAATTTTAATGTCCGATTGCCTGCGCCACGAAAGGGGAGTGATAATGTAAACACACGTGACTGCGCGCACGTGCCTGTTAGCAAATTATATCACAATTTGAACAAAACTATTAGACTGTTATCACTAGGTGAACATCTACAACTGTATATATTTTGGAGTCAACTCAATTCAAGATGGCTGCCACAAAAACCGACCTTAGGAAACACAGAAATGGACTACCCAGCAAAGTTAAGTCAGGTCCTCTGGATGTTTGTTTTTTTGAGACGTTTTGTCCTTCATCCAAAGGACTTCATCAGTCCAAAGAGCCACAACAAACTCAGTCCCACAAGCAGCACACTCACACTTTGTGGACCAACAAGTTTGATGATGATGAGATGGTTTCTGGGCCCCGCCCTCTCCCCCATCAACTCCTCTGAGGCAGCCATAGCCAAAGTGGTTCAAAACATCAAAATTCATGCTCAATAATCCAGGTAGAAAATCCAACAACATTCAGTCAGGTCCTCTGGACGGTTTCTTTGATGTTCTGCACTATAAACACTGCGTACTGAACAACAGCTGAAACTGGAATAAAAGCTGAAGCTTAGTTAAATGAAAATGATCTAAACTGTAGACAAAAACGCAAAAAATTTGCTAAACTGAAAACTAAAAAAAAGGTAAAAAATAAACGAAAAGCCAAAAGAACAAAGCAGTACCTGAAAGCTAAAGGTATCAAAACTGTAGCTAAAACAAAGATTAGCTAGACAATAGTTAAAAGCCAAAAAAGGCAAGAACATAAATAAAAGCAAACAATTGCAAATTTGTAGCTAAACGTAACAAAGCTGTAGCTTAGAACTAAATAAGCAAAACAGTAACATAAAGCTAAAATTTGCCAAACTGTAGCTAAAAGCTAAAGTTAACAAAGGCAAAAGCAAAAAATTGCAAAACAATATCTAAAAGATCAAATCTGCAAACCCCAAGCTGAAACCTAAAAATGGCAAAAAGAAAAAAAACCCACCTAAAATAGCAAAACAGTACCTCAGAACTAATATCAGCTAAAGTGCAGCTAAAAACATAATTTTGTAAGACAACAGCTAAAAGCTAAAACAGGCAAAAATGTAGATAAAAGCAAAAAATTGCTAATTTGCTGAACGTTAAAAAGCAAAACCAACAATAAAGGAAAAACTATTAGCAAGTAGTAGATGAAGCAGACATGAGCGAGACAATAGCTAAACGCTAAAAATACTACAACCAACATCTAAAAGCTGAGTTTAGCAAAACATTTGGTGAAGGCTAAAATTAGCATGGCAGTAGCTAAATGCTAAAAAATTGTATAGGACGACAAGAATAGAGGCAAGCCTGCTGAAGTGGACTTCATCAAAATTGATGAAATTAAAGGTGTTAATGTATTTCTATGGGAAGATTTTGTATTCCCACCGGAGCTAAATGTTTTTAAATATGAATAGTCAAAACAGCCAAATGTATGCTGAAGTAAAGACTGGGGGTCTGCAATGTACAGCTCTGCAGCCATATGTGGCTCTTTGGTCCCTCTGCAGCGGCCCCAAGTTTTAGACTAAAACTGGCATAAAACTAAAGTTTATTGGATGTTGTACCAACAACAAGAAATGATCGGTTTTAGCAGGTTTACAGACATTTCTTTAGCCAACATGTCAACGATAGACAAGAAGTAAAACTTGTTGACTGCATCATGCTATTAGTTTGTTAGCCACTTCTTTTAGCTCACTTCCAGTCTCACGGTGTGAGCTTTTTCCTCAAATCCACCAAATGTTTTGGGGGAATACTTTTAAGGCAAGTTGCTGAGAAGAAATATGGTGAATCAACTTGATAACAACAAAAATTAAAGAAATTGTATTTCCTGCTAAAATGCAGTGTGAATGCTTATTGCAGCCAAACTTGCTGAAAAACAGCTGA